AAGTTTCTGTAATAAGTTAATATTAAAGACTTAGCTAGAGCAGGTTGTGGTGGCACACCCCTTTAATCCCAGCACTCAGGTGGCAGAGGCAGGAGCATCTCTGAGTTTGAGGCCAGCCTGGTCTACAGAGGGAGTTCTAGGACAGCCAGGGCTACACAGAGAAACCCTGTCTTGAAAAAAAAAACAACTTACTAGAAAATGGGCCCTGGAGCCATATCTAAGCTCATGAATGACTCTTGCATTTTCAGCTGGGGCTCCTGGTAAGATGTACCTGAGCCCTCAGTTTTATCATCAGTAAAATAAAGACAAAATGCCTAACTTTCAGGTGAGTTGGGCAAACTAAACTGATAGACTGAAGGCATTATGACCAGCTCACTGAACTTTCATAATGTACAAAAAAAATATAAAAATGATCAGAAATTTTCTTTTTCACATCATGGCAATGTGTGGACTAACAACAGTTTATTATCAACAGCTATCCTAATGCTCAATGACAAGTCAAGAAGACAGCTGTTCCACGCTGCAGCAGCTGCTTGGCTCTCACCTTGTTGCCTAAGGGAGTGATCTTCAGAACTCCATCTTGCCACACTTTTGACTTCTTCATCTTTTGGTGAGTATATAGGACCTTATTTCCAAAAGTACAGAAGAAATCATTGCTATTTACACATTTAAAATTGTACAGTTTATAGGCCATACAAAATAAAATATCCCATTTCCAAATAATAACCCAGGTACCATCACAATAACAGTATCAGTGAGAGTCTGGAGGTGTGGCTCAATGACAGACAGAGTGCAGGCTCAGCACCAGGAGGCCCTAACCTTAACCCGCAGCATAAAAAACGGAAACAAACAATTTTGAGAGGAAGACAGTCGACTAGCTGGGTAGTACCAAAAGGCAAAGGAAGAAAGTGCAAGTAAAAACCTACAGAGTCTTTTAGTTATTGAGCATTAAAAATAATTGTGAACTGCCACATCATCAGTGGGAAGGAAAAACAGTTACTGGGTTACACATTACTTCTTATTCACCTAGCTCTCTGAGTACAGTCCAAAGACTGGACAGTCTGCTCAACCTTCACAGCATCTGAGGTCAGAACAATTTCACGCTGCTTGTCTTTAGACTCCCCCTCCATTAGTAGAAGAGTGGAGTTTCTAAGCATTATATGTGGTGCCAGATTCAATTACAGACTGAATACAGAAACAGTGTGAAAATCCAGCTGACTATTACTAAATCAAATGTTAAAGAAATTTAGAGGAAAAAGATGCCTAGCGATGCAGGGTTTAGAGACATAGCTCAGCTAAAAAGCGTTTGCCTTGAAGGCATGAGGACCTGACTTTGAGCCCCAGAGTCTACATAAAATGCTGGACATGGTGATGAATTCTAGGCAGACACAGGAGGACACCTAGGATCCCAGCCAATCTAACCTAATTGGTTAGCTCCAGGCCAATAAGAGACCCTCTCAAATTTAGTTACTTACCATTAAAAGTGTAATTTATATTAAAATGTAACATATTAGCCACTTTTTAGTGAGTATTTTACACTGTTTTTTTGTCTAACATAAATAATATTATAGATAGAAGCTCTACATGCTAAAGTTATTTAATGTCTTCAATATTGTTTTAGAGTACAAAAAGGTTTTAAGACCAAATAATGTGTCACTATAGATAGGGATGTCACCATTGGCAGGTCTTAAAGTGAAAAATGTTGTTTCCTAGTCCAAAGCTTCCAAAGAAGATTTACAAATGATTTTATAGTATATACAAATAAGGAGGAGGAGGGGACGACATAGGCTTGACAGATAAAATATAGTACAATATTTGGGACTCAATTATACTAGAAAACTATTCACTGTTTATCTAAGATTCAAATTTAACTTAATATCCTGCTTCTTTTGGTTTTGCTGAATCTAGCAATGCTAACAAGACATTTGAGAGAGAAAGGAAGAACTAAAAGGAGAGGGAAGGAAGGGAGGAGGAAGGAAAACATTAGTCAGATTTAGGAACTTAGGACATAGCTCAATTAGTAGCGTGTTTGCCAGGTACGCAGGAGACTGGTTTTGAGCCCCAGTACCACAGACACAGGATGTGGGCATGCACACCTATAATCCCAGCACTTGGGAGAAAAAAGCAAGAGGATCAGAAACTCTAGGTAACACTGAATTTCATCAAGAGTTTGAGGCGAGCCTGCCATACATGAGATCCTGTCCCCTGCCCCTCTCCCCCAAAAAAGAAAAATTATTAAAACTTACAATAAATTCTTGACTTTCCATTGTTTCTTCTGAAATTATAAGCCAGTCAGGTCCAGAAAATAATCAGTTTTTATTCAACAGTTTATATCCTCTAAAATGAAAAACAGCAAATGGTCAATCAACCCGGAATAAAAAGAATTAAGTATCAAATACAAAGTTTCTCAATAAATCTTGACTAGAGACAGAAACCAAAGAATTCCAAGATTATCAGTCTATCTAGCCACCAAGTGAAACAAAAGTGTATCTGTCATGGAGGATACAACTGAGTGATACCACATACTGGAAAATAAAGATAAAACAAAGTAAAATTCATAAACTTATTAGTAATCTGTAAACATCTCTCTAGGTGCCTTAATATGAATCAGAAAATGGATTTTTTCCTTCAACATGTTTTGCTCCTTAGAACCCAAATTCAATTTTTTTTCTAAAGCATTATAGTCACCACAAGATGGCCCCCTTGTGTCTTAAATTTTTCCTGTTAAAGTAGTTCCTTCGTATCCAGGGACTAGTTTAAGGACCACAAATATCAACATCTGTAGCCACTTGAGTTCACACAAATGTCAAAGTTTTTGCTTATAATATAGGAGCATGTACACATTCTCCAACATACATTAAATCATCCCTAGATCACTTATACCTAATGCATTGTAAGCTATATGCAAATAGTGAGTGACTAAACTGTATTGTTTAAGAAATGATAGCTGGGCAGTGGTGGTGCATGTCTTTAATCCCAGCACTCAGGAAGCAGAGGAAGGCAGATCTCTGTCTACAGAGTAAGCTCCAAAACAGTCAGGGCTGTTACACAGAGAAACCCTGTCTCCCTGCCCCCACCCCCCCAAAAAAGGGAGTGAGAAAAAGCGAAAGCAAGCAGTCAGGCTTGGTGGCACACATCTTTTTGTTTGTAGGGTTTTTTTTCTTTTCTTTCTTTTTTTTTTTTTTTTTTTTTTTTGTGTGTGTGTGTGTGTGTGTGTGTGTATGACAGGGTTTCCCTGTGTAGCCTTTGCTGTCCTAGAACTAGCTTTGTAGGCCAGGTTGGCCTACAACTCACAGAGATCTTCCTGCCTCTGCCTCCTGAGTATTAGGATTAAAGGCATGCACTACCACAAGCCCAGCTGGCACACATCTCTGATTTAAGAGCAAGGGCAGCAGAGTCAAGTGGGTCTCTGTGTGTTCAAGGCTAGCCTGGTAGCCTGGTCTACATAGACAGCTCCAGGACAGCCAGGACTACATAACTAAGAGAGACCCTGTCTAAAAAAAAAAAAATGAAAAAAAGAAAGAGAAAGAGAGAAAGAAAGAAAAAGAAAGGAAGGAAGGGAAAAAAAGAAATTATAACAAAAAAATCTGCATGCTCAGTACTGACAATTTTTTTTTCTGAATATTTCCAGTCTACAGTTGGCTGAATCCAGTTACAGAGGGCAGACTACATACCTTAGTCAATGTAACACAACACCATTGGACCAAATATGCATTATATTATACCTCTTCAAGGAAACATCTTTGCTTTCTTTTCTTTCCCCAGCTCTAGGGGCTGACAACAAGGTCCTATGTAAGCTAAGTAATAATGCTTCCACATGCCCAGTCCTTTCTGTTTGTTTGAAACAGGATCTGGCCTGTTGCACAATCCTCTTGTCGGGGCCCCTGGAGTAGCTGGGATATTACGGGTAATGTGCCACAACACCCAGGAAGAAAAATCTTTTTGAACAGTGTTGCCGCAGCTACTGTAACTATCCTGTTACTGGAAATATATATATATATGGCCAAATTTTGAAATCTGGAATCATCGAAGCACACAGTGAGTACACATATCTTCAAGTCGTTCCATGGACATGACATGACCACTACACGAAAACTAGTCAGTAATGAACATTTTAGGCCCTATCCTTGATCTATTAAACTAGAAAGTCCGGTTCTGGAGCTCAACAAGCCCCCTCTTCAGTGATGGTGACTGCCAAACCGGAAACAGTATGCACAGCGGCCTGATCCCTTACTAGCTCAGTACAGGTTGAGCGCTAGAGGGCGAGGTGAGCGATAAAGGCGGGAGACACCAGTACCAGCAATCGGATGTATACAACCTTTCTTCTGTTATGCTGAGGAGTGAGAGCTTTCCGTGAAGACGGCGGGAAGCCGTTGTCATAACCTTGCTTTACGAGGAAAGCTGCTACAGTGGCCCAGGAGAGCATTCACCGAGCTAGCCCGAGGTCCTAGGTTCGCTCCCCAGCACCGCCCAAACCACGCACATCCTGTTAAGAAACCACCAGTACAAATAACTAAAAGAAACATTACTTTCACTTGCCAAATTTTGACTCATCAAAGGCTTGTGTCCCTAAATAAAACAACGGAGCCTCGGTCCGTTGCCAGCCCCCTTAAAACAAGCACGACGAGGACGGGGCTCAATGGTGGCCGCCTCACCCAGCATCCTAACGGCGCCCCGTGGGCCGCTTCCGTGGAGGTGACTCAGTGTCCATGCTCTCCCAACCGTGCCAAGCCTCCCGGCCTAGCCACCCTTCATCCCCCCGAGAAGAAAGTCTTCACCTCCTCACGGACACAGAATCCACTTTCGAATTTCTCCCGCGAACTGGCGCGACGTCATCAACCAGGGACGGTGCCGCGGAGGCCCCGCCCCGCCGCCGCCGCCGCCGTTCGCCAACCACCAATGGAATTCCACATCCAAGTGCGCTCCCCGCCTGGCTCCGCCCCCCTCGGTCCCGCCCCCGAGAGGCGTCGCCTATGACGTCAGGCACGGAAGCCGCGGCTCGGACCCTGCTTTCCACAGTCGGCTGAGAAGGAGCGCGTCGCTCGTCGGATGACGCGAATTTACGCCGACTCGAAGGCTCGAAGGGGACAGAAAGCGTGGAAGAAGGCAGTCGCTGAGCGCGGATTTGGGGACGCGAGCAGAGTAAGTCGCAGATGGCCTCCCGTAGAGCCGCTGAGAGCCGGTCAAGTGTAAACTCTGAGTCCGGCCTCCTGAGGTCCACCCTACTAGCTGTGGTCCGGCCCGCCCCGCCCCCCTCGGCGCCAGTCCGTTGGCTTGGCTACTCTGTGCGCACGCGCAGTTCTCTGGCTGCGCTTGCAGTTCCAATCTTAGGACGGAGGGGGCGAGCCGAGCCTAGTGTTGGGAGTTTGGGGGCACGCCCGGCTGCTGGGAGGGTGTCCTTGCGGAAGTGCAGTTGCTGAGTGGAGCTGTGGAAGCTAGGCAGGTTGGGGGATGAGCTTCTGCTTCCAGAGGACAGCAGTTGTGAGGACTCGCATTCCAAAATTAAGTCTTTTCTTTTGCAAGCCGTTCGTCCTTTTAGCCTCCCTTAGAAAATCCGTTTTAAGAAGGAGCTAACAATAAGTGATGAGTATTAAGTTCCGAGTGCGTTCATGAGGAGCTAAGAGTGGACAGTTCGCTGAGACTGGAAGTCCTCAAGAAGACTACATTTAGTAGTCCTTCGAAGCAGGGCGGTGGTGGGAAGTCGAATGACTTTATAAAGGATTTTTACACTAGAAGGTTCATCGGGAGCAAAGATCCAGGCCACTAAGTGCTTTGCTACCTTTCAGTAGTCTTGCCATGACCACAACTTTGGTTCTCATTCTTTTGGGTACACTTCTTTTTGTTCATAACCTGAAAAATGTCATGGCCAAGTTTCTTTGGAAATTTTACATGGACCCACGGAAACGTTTTGCGTATGATTTTACAAGCAAAAGCTGTGACTTTGAAATTGGGAAAAAAAATTTTACTTTACATCTAGTATAGTTCACTTCCAGATTATCTATGACATTCACTGTCTTTGAACAACATTACAACTTTGTAACTTGCAGAAAAGCGTAAAAGATGGAAATCATGTTTGCCCAAATAAGATGTAATTAGTTATTGCCCTGACCAATGTCTGTTAACATTCATTTCAACTTTCTACGGCATACTGATCTGGTCTTTGCTCCTTTAAATGGATTTGTAGCACTTAGTTTTGCCATATTCATTTTGTATTTGTACAAGCATGATTTTACCTTATCTTTAAAATTTATCTTCTAACCATCTCATGGATTCCTAAGATTTCTTGAAACTCACCTGAAGTGTCATGGACTTCAGAATAAGAATTCCTGGATCAAGATATAATATGAGTAGTGACAAACTGTAGAAGCTTCTACTAAAAGATAGGCAATATAAAATTCAAGCATATCAATGGTTTGCTTACCTAGCTAGCTTTGACTAAATTACATAACCTTTTGTCTTCCTTTTAAAAAGTTGAAAGAAACTACATGGTAGGATTGTAAAGATTTAAAACAGTGTATATAAAGTGACTGGCATTGTTTCACAGTATTTTTTTATTCTTTGTTCCAAGACCATGTTTGTTTGCTTGCTTGCTTGCTTGCTTGCTTGCTTGCTTGCTTGCTTGTGGAAAGGGCATGTCTAGCTGTCCTGGAACTTGCTCTGAAGAGCAGGTTGGCCTTGGACTCAGACATCCACCTCCTGAGTACTAGGATTAAAGTTGTGTGTCACCATGCCCATTTAGAAGTATTTTAATACTTAGGACACCACAGGAAAACTGATAAGGAATTACTAATGTTGCAATTTGAGAAATAACCTTCACAAACCATATCAATGTTATGGCCAGGTGACACATAGCCTTCTGTAAAGGATAGATGACTTCTAGAACATGCTATAAATTTATCATATTCTAATGACAGTTGTGGAAAACACTAAAGGGGGATGAGAGCCATTTCAAAGATCAAATTGGTAGGATTTAGTGACCAATTGGTAAAGAATAACATGGCTACATATTATGTTCTCCAGAGCAGCTGGTTTTGTTTTGAGAATCTTTTTTTAACTTAAGTATATATGTGTCTGAATGTATGCATGTGTACCACATGCCCACAGAGGTCAGAAGAAGGCTTTGGATCCCCTAGAACTAGAATTAGTTATAGGAGCTTGTGAGCTTTGACTTCTAGGAACTGAACCTGTGTCCTCATGAGCAGTGAGTGTTCCTAACCACTATGCTATCTCTGCAGACCTCTCCACAGCAGCATTTTTAAGTGTTGAAATTACATTTTTTCTAATTAATCTTCACAGTAACTCTATTATATAGATAAGATTTGTATCCACATTTTATGAACCACAAAGATGAGGAAACTTACTCCAAGCACATACAGAGCTTGCTTGATCAAATTTGTGGGTTATAGTGTTAGCATTAGTGAGGGTAAATAGGCTTTGGAAGGAAAGGATGAATTTCCTTTGGAATGTTATTATAGAACCCTGGGAAGTTACAAATAGCATTGAGAGTATATCAAGGACTGAGGAGTCCAGTGGTAGGATATTGGCCTAGGATATGGAGACCGTCAGCATGAGGGAGACAGGCAGAAGAGGGTAAAGATGTAGGGTCTCTGTAACCGGGTATTGCCATGTCACTAACTGCTCTCTTCAGGCCCAGTGTAAGGAGACTAAATTGTTCTATAGTTTATGTGACTTTCTGTTTAGTCTGTATCGTGTTCTAAATTGAAGGTGTATTTTATCATTGTGAGCTGGAATATGCTAAGCTACAAAAGTAACCCTTAAGAGAAACAGGAAGGAGGGCCTCTGAGCTAAGAGAGTGGAATGATAACTGTGGCATTCTGTGGTTGTTTGTATTTATTTGTTTGTTTGTTTATTTATTATGCATTGTTGTTTTGCTGTGTAAGGGTGTTGGTCCCCTGGAACTGGAGTTACAGTCAGTCATGAGCTGCCATGTGGGTGCTGGGAATTGAGCCACGGTCTAATGGAAGAACAGTCAGTGCTCTTAACCGCTAGGCCATCTCTCCAGCCCCACATTCTATGTTTCTACTCTTCTGTCTACCCTGCTTTAGATCTAGTAGATGTAGATAGTGTGGCTATAGAGATTTCAGTATGCCTTATTTAGATCAGTGCTTCTCAACCTTCCTAATGCTGCGACCCTTTAATGCAGTTTCTCATGGTGTGGTAACCTCAACCATAAAACTATTTTGTTGCAATTTCATAACTAATTTTGCTACTGTTCTGAATTGTAATGTAAACTTCTGTTTGATATGGGACGTGGAATAGGTCTCCACCCACAGGTTGAGAACCACTGCCTTGGACTATTGGCTTTAATGGAAAAGAACTGTATAGTTTGAAGTCTACCCTTTCTAAGTAACAGCTAGCAGTAGAGCGTGCTGTGTGATCGTTGTAGTCTATATTTATATTTATACCTTACCGCCTTAGAAAAGAATTTGAAATGCTTAATGCCTTATTTTCATGATACAGACCAGGCTGGCTTCAGACTCACAGAGGTCCACTTGCCAGTGCCTCATGAATGCTGGGATTTAGATGTATACAACCATGCCCAGCTCTGGGTACTTTTAAATATATCTAACCACTTCACAAATATGTAGTGACCAAATTGAAGCCTCTGCCTCTCTATATTTAGATTATAGTGGGGTAGATAGACAACTCTTAATTCCAGACAGTGATGAGCATAGAGAGAAAAGTTTGGAGTATAGTTTACTTTGACATCAAGGGTACTATTTTAGGTTGGATGAAAGAAAAGGCCTCTCTGAGACAGTGACATTCACAGATCTGGGTGAATACTGAAGTATACAACAGGTGTTGGGGAAAGAGACAGCAGAAAGAACAAAGGCCTGCAGACAGAAATGGCTTTAGCATATTTAAGGAACTTAGGGGTGACATGTTATAAGCTTGCTGAAAAGAGTTGTGGAAGATAAAGTTGGAGAAATGTGTCCAGGTCAGATTATATAGGACCTAGTAAACCACTGTAAGATCTTTGGACTCTGTGCTGAATGTGTTAAGTCTTTGGAAGTGTTTGTACAAAGAATTGTCCTGATTTACATATTTCCATGATTATTAGCCTATGTAGAAAATGGATTATAAGAAAGCAGTAGTAGAAGCAAGTAGACTATTAAGAAAGATCTTGGATAGTTAAGTGAGACGTGATAATAACTTGGAGTTAAGTGGTTTGTTAGAATGAGAAGTGTTAATGTTCAGGCTATATTCTAAAGCCAGTGCTAGTACAACTGCTAATGAATTGACTGTACAGTGGGAGGAATTGAGACTACTTTCTGATCTTACTCTCTGTCTTGTAGTTGGTATTTCTCAATGTGGTAAAAATCTGTTAAAATTTTAGAACTTGGGGCAGGAGAGATGACTCAGAGGTTAAGAGCACTGCTTGTTCTTCCAGAGGTCCTGGGTTCAATTCCCAGCAACCACATGGTGGTTCACAATCATCTATAATGAGATCTGGTGCCCTCTTCTGGCTTGTGGACATATATGCATACAGAACACTGTATACACAATAAATAAATCTTTAAAAAATAAATTTAGAATTGTTTTTATCATGTTAAGTTTAAGATACCCTCTAAATGAACAAATGGAGATGTCAAGTACAATTGACTATTGGAATGTAGAACTAATGAGAGAATGTGGTTTGTGAGGTATATAGCCTCACAATACTGATTAGCAGGACCCTCAGAAAGGTTGAGTCAAGAACAGAGGCCAAGATATGAGTCTAAAACATAGTAGAAGAAACTAGAAAAGGGAAACTCTTTAAAACTTTATGAAGAAAAGATCTGCAGTGAAGGAATTTCTGACTGTAAGTGCTGCTGGGAGGTCAGGTAAGCACTGGGCTCAAGCAGACATTGAGCTCTAATAATAGAATTCCACTAGAATGGTAGGAATGAAATCTGAGGGCCCTGGTTATACACTATTCACCTTACTGTTTTGCCAGATGTTGTATACTTGTATACAACATCTTTTTCTATGCTTTCTCTATACTTTCAAAATTGGTACTTGACCAGCTTTATAACATGCATTAAAAATGCCAAAAGTTGACTGGGTTGAGTGAGATGCGTCAAGGTCTTGCTCCTTGGAAACACATTTATTTCTGCTTTAAGTCTGGCAGCAGGAAGGCTCAGGCAACAGAGGTATACATTATACGTATACTGTGTATACCATGTATACATCTTTACAAGCATATACACACAGTGAGTACATTAACTTTATCTCTCACCTAGGGCCTCAGGCATTTACATCCTCTGAGTTCCTCTTGTCCAGAAGGATTTGTGGCTTCCCTATCAAGGGTAATATGTACATTTCTATATTAACTTACAGAATGGAAACTGAAAATAAGAAAACTATGGCAGAAAGCACTGAGAAGAGAAAAGAAGAAAAAAAGAAACGCTCAAGGGTTAAACAGGTGCTTGCAGATATTGCCAAGCAGGTAGACTTCTGGTTTGGGGATGCAAACCTTCACAAGGACAGGTTTCTTCGCGAGCAAATTGAAAAATCTAGAGATGGATGTAAGTTTCCTTCCTCTTAAACTCCCATGTCTTGTTTTTTCTCTTTATTGAGTTTTAGGGGGGCTAGAGAGATGGACCTGGGTTCAGTTGCAAGCACTCACATAACACCTCAACTGACTAACTGCCCAGTTCCAAGGACACATTAAAAAATTAGTATGGATATCCATGTTTATGGGGCCAGTGCCTGCCTGCATTTTATTTAAAATCACAAGCAGAGATTGCTCAACAACACAGACACCACTTTTAAAAGCTAACATCTTACCACCTTCTGCATTTCAACTAGATGTGGACATCTCTCTTCTGGTATCTTTTAACAAAATGAAGAAGTTAACCACTGATGGGAAGCTAATAGCAAGAGCATTGAAAAGCTCATCTGTAGTAGAGGTAAAGTTTTTTCATTACAAATTAATCACAAATTAATTATTAACTGTACTTTAAACCTCAATTTTTTCTTTAAAAGTTGGACTTAGAAGGAACCAAAATCCGGAGAAAAAAGCCCCTAGGTGAGAGACCAAAGGATGAGGAGGAACGCACCGTGTATGTGGTAAGAAAATACACAAATTTGATTCTAGTTTCCATTTATTGATAAAATGTAGGAATTTAAAGAATGCTTAAACTGAGTTCATGTCACTTTTGATTTATCCAGGAGTTACTCCCCAAAAATGTTACACATAGCTGGATTGAAAGAGTGTTTGGGAAATGTGGCAATGTGGTTTACATAAGCATTCCACATTACAAGTCTACAGGGGATCCCAAGGGATTTGCCTTTGTGGAGTTTGAAACTAAAGAACAAGCAGCAAAAGCCATTGAGGTACTGTCTCTGTGACCCTGAAAAAAAAAAAACAAAACACGGGATTAGTATGAATACATTTTTTTGCAATCATTTTTTGATACTCTTTTTCAGTTTCTTAACAACCCACCCGAAGAAGCACCAAGAAAACCTGGCATATTTCCCAAGACAGTGAAAAACAAACCCATCCCTTCCTTAAGAGTAGCTGGTGAGTACCTAAGACACAGGAGGTACATACTGATTTCGTAGAGGAAATAAAATTTTTCCAACATTGTTGTTACAGAAGAGAAGAAAAAAAAGAAGAAGAAAGGCAGACTAAAGAAGGAAGACAGTGTGCAGGCCAAAGAGTTAAGTATAGACACCGGTAGCATGGGAGTGTGCAAAGCTAAGAGACCAAGGACGGCCTCTGAAGGCTCTGAAGCAGAGACTCCTGACGTTCCAAAGCAACCTGCAAAGAAAAAGAGGAAACGAGACAAGGTTGAGGCATCCGTCTTACCTGAAGTCAGAACAGGGAAGAGGGAGAGAAGCAGCGCTGAGGACGAAGACTGCCTCCCCCCCAGGCCAAAAACCAAGAAAAGGGCTCAGAAGGATGGCCTTAGCGAAGCTGCTTCTGAAGTCTCCAAGGAGAGCAGAGGTACTGTGTTAGGATTAGACAGTGCAGACGTTTTAGTTTATTTCCCAACTACAACTTGTCTTACGAGAATCTTTTTTCTAGACTTAGAATTCTGCTCTACAGAAGAGGAGAAGGAGACTGGAGACACAAAAGGTGACTCACTCCTGAAAGTGAAAAGGAAGCATAAGAAAAAACATAAGGAGAGACATAAAATGGGAGAAGAGGTTATACCGTTGAGAGTGTTGTCCAAGTAAGTACCGTCCGGTCTCCGTGGCAGTCAGTCCATCACCATTGCTAAAGTGCAATTCCAATCTCTAGTCAACAGAGTTGCATATTAGCAACAGTGATGGCTTACAGTCCATTTGCAGTAGAAAGTGAAGATAAGCAGGAGCCACCACACTGAAACATGGAGCACTTATTTTTATAAACTCACAGCAAGTGCCTCCATGTTAAAGAAAGGAGGCGCCTTCAACAGGTATCAGCGAAATTCTTACAAGGCACGAGAATGGAAAAGGAAAACTCACCATCACCAAAACATGGAAGCACTTACTTTCTTAGTTCCAAAGCAAGTACATCCACGTTTAAGTGATGGGGAACCCAGTCTTTATAGCTGCCAAGTTCTGCTTCTTAACCTGCAACATTTTTAAATTAAGAAGAGCATGCTGAATGGTTTGAGACACCTCCACTCAAACATGGAAGCACTTACTTTAGTCTAACACAGCAGGTGTCCCCATGTTAAAGCAGAGGGGACTCCTTCATACTTAGTAGTTGTTAGCTTATCCACTCCAGGTGTACACTGAATTCACTTCTACTAAAACATGGAAGCACTTACTCTTTTTACGTGACACAGAAAGCACTCCCATGTTAAAGTGGAAGGGAACCCACCCAGAAGGCAACTTGTTTAAAAAGACGGCACAACCAGAGAGAAAAGAAACGACACAGGTCACAGAGATAGCTTACCTTTGTGAGCTGGCCCCAAAGAATCTCCTTCTCTGCTTGGAGGGTGAAAGCCAGTGACTTCCGAACACTTCTATTTATACTACTCCTAACTCCTGAATTCCTTTTGGCTTTCTATCTCAGAGAATCATTACAAGAGCCTTTGTTATTTTAATGCATCAGCTCTCAGGGAAAGTAGGTCCTGGGGATCCTGGGTAGCTCTGGATTTTTTTTTTTTTTTTTTGAAGTAAACAGATGTCAATGTTAACTGCTAAAACCATTACCACAAGATATCCTTCTCTTTAAAAAAAAAAAATCTCCTATCTGCTTGTTTGATGGCATAGATTAGGGTAACAATGAGCACTCCCACAGAGCCAGGAGAGGCATTGTGCTGCTCTCTGGAGGAACCCTGGCTGTTTGAAGAGACATCTACATGGTAAATGGATGTAAATAAATAAATTGCTTCCATGGGGTGTTTTTTTCTTCTTAGAAATTCCTTTTGATTCAAGTAAATCCTAAGGAATGTTATCTCTCAAATTGGAAGCAATTTAACAAATCTTTGAATTTTAGTCTCTCACTTTTCCCCACAGTTGCCTAATTTAGTGAATGTTACTTTGAGGAAGTAACTCAAAATTTTGCTTTTACAATTAAAAAATATTAAAAACACATTAGGAACTTAACTGGAAAATTAAAGCATTTTACCTGAATGTTAATGAAAAAGAACTTCATTTGTATGTCTACTAGATAGATTTACGGCCTAAAAGCTAATTAAGTGTATGATTTTAAAAGAAAGGAAAGTTGGGAAGACTGGGAATTTCTATCTTTAGTTCATTTCGGATTTCTCATTGAGTCATCTTGTCACTCTTTCAGTAGCTCAGGTTTTTGTTTTACAGAACTGAGTGGATGGATTTGAAAAAAGAGTACTTGGCACTGCAAAAAGCCAGCATGGCTTCTCTGAAAAAAACAATATCTAAGATAAAATTGGAGTCAGAAATGGAAACAGACTGTGTGGCGGCTGCTAAGTCTGGAGTGAATAATGGAAAAGGTGAGGCTCACTAAATAGCATTAGTGTCATGATGCACTGGAGATTCTGGTTAAAGAAAAGAAATTGAAGTGTTGATATTAAACAGTAGACCTTTAACAGCCTGCTTACCCTCTTCATTACCACGAGTTTCCTCATGAGTGCCTGGACATGGCAATAAAGACTGCAGTTTCAGTGGAAGATGAACCCTGAACACGATCATATTAAAGAATTAGTCTTATTGATAGTAACATTGGTAAAGATTTTTTAGTTATAAATATTTATTTAATTCATTTATTTATTTTACATCCCAGCCATAGCCTCCCCAACCCTGTTTCCTTTTATTCGAGTTTTATTCTTTTGTTCAGGAAAATAATGCTTTTATTTCATGTTAATTTCCAAATGGCCAGTGTAATGCATTAGTATTAATTTAAAATGCACAATTCTAAGCTATTTAAATTAGCCTGAGAAATCACTGCTGCTGTTGTAGGGTAGTGCTCCTCATGTTAAATGTCAGGTGTGTGAAAGTGACCTCTGGCCTTTTCCTTCTCACATCACCAGTCGGCCCTCCAGAGTGCTGCACCCAGGAGAAGGCCAGTGCACAAGGTCCACAGTTCGTGAACGGAGTTATTGTGAAGATCACGAGCACAGAGCCTCTACCTGGCAGGAAACAAGTCAGGGTAATGTTTATGATCCCTGTGTGAAATAAAATAATATGTGTTTTTAAAATAATATGGAAAACAAAACAAGTCTAGTTAGAATTTGTACCTCTCTGATAAACTACTTGTAGAGTTTGAGTCCATGGTAACTCTGATAACTCTTGATTCTTCAGGAAATGAGAGGCACATCTAACAGTCTGACTGTCTTTTCTTACTGAGTCACTAATAGCTGGCTGCTGTGTATTTCAGGGGAGAAGAGTGCAGAGACTCTAAATTGCAGTTGGTGAAATAATATGTATTAAGTATTATGCTCTGAAAAAGTTTTTTCAGTTGTAAGAGTTCTAAAAAGATACTTGGTACCATCGTTTTTTAAAAATGTATATCATAATATTCTTGCTCAGTGATTATTTGAAAGTTGTAACCAGCTACTGTATTTATGGATTTATATTCATCAACCAGGACTAAGATTTCCAAATGATCATTCCTTTTGTTGTTTTTCTGAGACAAGTTTTTTGTTGTGGCACAGGCTGTCTTAACTCATCATTTGGCCCAGGCCAGATATTCTCCCATTTCTACTTCCCAGCCTAGCCACTTTATTTCATACTGTATAAAATAAATTACTTTTTAGCATCTTAGGACATTTAATACTATACATTATGTTGTTACATTATTTTCTATAAAACTGTACCAATTACACTTTTTAATTGAAAAATGCAGTGAAATAGTTTTTTTTGGTTTTTTTTTCCTGTAATCTGTGTGTGCTCTTATTACTGATTACCAGACAGATATGTCATTATATGAGTTTTACATGAGTAGATTAGTCTGACTTTATAGTGGATATAATATAGTAAATATATTTTAAACTGTGGTACTCTAAACTGTCTTACCACTACCAGAGAATACATCACAATTTCATCAACTTAATACAGATTGATCTCTATGTATCCTAGTTCATCTGATTAACTAGATAAAACCTTTGAGGACTTCTCGGGTATAATTCTCTCCAGTTCTTTTTATTTCACGAAGGGTGTTCTTATATCACAGTATATTGTATGCTAAGAGTGAGTTAAGACTAGTTTCTGTCATCCAAAAACTTGCAAATGTCTATTATCCTTTACTGTTAACTAATAAACTTTTTATTCTACAATGAAATAATATTTTCAGATCCTCAATTCCTTTTATGGCTCTGGAAAGTCATTACATTAAAATAATTTGAGTTCCTGTGTCTAGAAAATTCTGGTCTAAACTAAACAGTTTCTTTCCAGTTGGAAATCTATTTATTTCTTTGGCTTTAATGAATGAAATTTGACAACTGAGTTTACTGTAACATTCCTGCATAAATGCATTATGTTCTGTAGAGAACCTGCTGTGAGAAAAAATAGATTAAGAATGCAAGAATCTTCTTAATTAGTCTTCACAGTGGGGCATTATAGGTAAAACTGTCCCCCTTGTTGGGGACCTCAGCTTGCTTAGAAGGGGTTACTTATGGAAAGGGTTACTTAGAAAGAGTTACTTAGGTATTTTATAGAAAACTGAGAGCTGTCAGCTGTGTTCCAGTAAATCTACCCAAGAACCCTAAGATTCCTGTTGGTTTTTGTAAAATGTTGAAAGATGGTTCCATGTGCTCTAAGTCAAACGTGGTATTGTATAGGTGAGTGAAAATAAGCTTCTCAAGCCCTTTTAATCTTTCTTGTACTAATTTACAGAGCCAGGTTGCTGGGGGAAGGGTCATTTATATTTTCCTCTACAAACCTTGCCTTTAGCTGGTCCCCATGTAAGTTCATCTTTTAAGGATAGACTTCAAAGAGAGTGAGGGAAAGTAATTTTTGATGAGTTGTTAGATTGCTTCTCGTTTTTGTCCAAATCTATTTTTTAACAGTTTTTCTGTGTATTTTAGAAGTGTTTTATGTATTTACCCATCAACTACAGAGTAGCTTATTGATGTAATACATTTGACAACCTTTGTGCGTACATTCATTTATTGTGAGACATCTTGTATGTTGATTTTAAGTCTTTATACTTTACCATGTAGGATATTTTGGCCACAATCTCAGAAGTTGTTTACGTTGATTTGCTAGAAGGAGATACTGAATGCCATGCCCGGTTCAAAACTCCTGAGGATGCTCAGGCGGTAATGAATGCACAGACTGAAATTAGAAAGAAGCACTGTTGGAACCTCGAGGTCCTTTCTGGTAAACCTAATTTGGTTTTTCTTTTAATAAACAGTTGTTATTGTAGGTAGTTTTTCTATTCATTCTTCATTGGACTAATGGAAGTAGCTTCCTTCCCCCCAAACATTCTCCGCTGGTGAGATTAGAATGTATATCCTTATGCTCGGTGATCAGAGCTGTTGTTTGTTTTTAAGGTGATCACGAGCAGAGGTACTGGCAGAAGATTTTGGTAGATAGACAGGCCAAACTTAATCAACCTCGGGAGAAGAAAAGAGGCACAGAAAAGGTAAGGACAGAGTTAAATGCATCTTTTGACAGCAATAAATGAGGACACCTTTTCACTTTGGCTTTCCTGTTAGAGTACTGTTTCAGACTGAGAAAGAATGCAGATTCTCCTGGCTTTAAAATAGATGAAATTAAAATCGTTCACTCACAGGCATCCGTAATTGTAATTTAGGGTTTTCTGTGCTTTGAAGCAGTAGTGCATGTTAAACAGACTCAGTCTTGATTTGGAGCTGCTGTGTTTTGTAGTTTGGGCATGATTCCCTTAGAAAGATGGTCTTTTGCAGATAGGATTGAGAGACTTGATATATCAGGTTCCCAGTGACAATGAGAATTATTACTATTGTTGTTATTAAAACTTATTATTTTTCTGATAATCAGTAAGTGGTACAAGCAAACCAAAATAATTAAAACAAACTCATTCAATAATTTTATTTCTATGATATTTATATAATTTCTCACCAAGAATGCCATTTATTCTTTGAAAACAGATTTTTACTCTTTTAAATATTGTTTAGGCAAAATGCTTAGAACAACCTGTTAAGAACTTTGAAAGCCCTGATTCAAATATTTTGTGCTTATTGGCTTGGTGTATGTTTCATCAGTGCTCCTTTGGCATTTATGATGATTGACAGGGATGTTTCCTACTATTGCTCTTTGTGAATTTTTGTTCTTGAATGGAGCCTGATCTTGCTGAGATGGGGAGGCCCCCTTCCTTTCTCAAGGCTCTTTCTAGTCTTGGAGGTGTTAATTTCAAAGCTTGTTTGAGATGGTCAGATGTTAAAAGTCAGTAATCCAGAACAGATAAATGAACTGTAATCAGGCCAGTAATATTTGTTCTTCTAATTGGTGTGAAGTTTTGTTTAAATTGTCTATACTCTTTTTAACTAGTAATTACAACAATTTATTTTTCGTTTTAGAAATTTATCAAGATTCATCTTAGTTTCAGGCAAAGAAATAAACATTTCCAGGGTATTTTATAAAATTAAACTAGAACAATAAAAATTTAAATTACTCATTGTCCAGTTTTCACATGCTTCATTATCAGGGTGGTTATTATTATGATCTAGGTAGGAACAGCTGGAGCCAGCTGATTTCATGGATTGAAATGCAGTGGATCTTCCACACCAAGTAAATGGTGTTGGAAATTTGTTTGAAGAACATGAACCGCAGCTAACTTGTTTGCCAATCTCACTTGTCCTTGTTGTTGTTTTCTGGTGCTGGAAGAGATTAAGTAAGTGCTCCACTGCTGAGCTGTCTGCTGGAGCTTGCTAATACTCTCTGAATGTGTTAGCCCCCTTTCCTGCAAGTAGAATAATAGTCATGGATAACAAATCCCTTTATTCTCCCTTAGCTTGCCTATAAACATTACCAGTGCGGCACAGAAAATTAAACCAGGTAGCTTTTACATGCACTTGAGAGTTCAGAAGCGCAGCATTCGAGGCTAAAGGAATGGGAGGTAGATGTATGGAAACCAAGGGCAGAATTTCAGTGATTCTGGCATGATTCCTTCCTGATGCAACAGCTCAGTTTCCACACTAGAGACTGGTGCACCGAGTGGGAGAAAAGCACCTAAAACCCCACAGTTCTTCGTTTCATGCTACACGGTAGGACACATTGTTCTCATCCCTCTGGACCACATCCCTGTTCAGTTTTAGGACTGAAGGTAGAAGAGTCAGTCAGTGCAGCAGAGTATGTTTACTCTACAGAGAGATTTACATGTGAAAATCAGCACGTGGAGATGAGCTCACAAAGCATTGGGAACCTAAGGAAGGGAGCTGCCAAAGGGGATCAGGATAAGTCAGGAATCAGAACCAAGGCTTCACAGTGCCGCTCTCAGCCCCAAAATAAATCTTTTATTTCTTCTCTTCCGTTGTCTAAATAGTCTGTGATTTTTTTTAAATTATATTTTTTGATTTCATGTGGATGTTCGTGTACCACAGCATGCCTTTGGTAATTAAAGGACAGCTTGCTAGAATCAGTTCTCACCCTCTACCATGTGGGTCCTAAGGATGGAACTCTGGTTATCAGGCTTTGAAGAAAGTGCCTTTACCCCTAAAGAATCTCTAACCACCCATGTTTTATTTTTTTGTTTTGTTTTGTTTTTTAGATGTTTGCTTTTGTTTTTAATCAAAAAAAATTTTTTTTGGAATGATAGTTTTTTTTATTTAAATTTTTTTTTTCATTTTACACCAATTTTACATACTCTGTTTCCCCCTCCTCCCCCTCCCCCACTTCCCCATCCCACCCCCATCCCCTGGTAGGGGGTAAGACTTCCCTTGGGTAGTCAACACAGGCTGGCATACCAAGTTAGGGAAGGAACAAGCCCCTCCCCCTTGCATCACGGTTGAGTAAGGCATTCTGCCTTAGGGAATGGGCTCTAAAAAGCCAGTTTGTGTACCTGGGGTAAGTCCTGGTCTCATTGCCAGGGGACCCAAAAACACATCAAGCCATGCAACTGTCACCCATATTTAGAGGGCCTAGTGTGGTCCCATGCAGGCTCCCCAGCTGTCAGTCTAGAGTCTGTGAGCTCCCATTAGCTTGGATGAGCTTCAAAATGGCCTTTTCAATGAAAAATTCTGCTGTGTTTCCCAGTAAAGGCAGAATTCCTACTTGTAAACAACATCATTGGTGTGCTGGGGAATCTTGAATTTTGATCTTGTCACTTGTAAAGAGTGTTTTAATTATGTTATGACCTCCTATCAATCATATATGACACAAGATTTGATTCATGGACTGATTTAGACAAGGTCTCTGGTATCTCATGCTTACCTCAAGCTCACTGTGTAGCTGAGAAAGACATTGCAGTTCTGATCCCCCAGCCCTTACCACCCGAGGACTGCACTTGCAGGTTGCCCCCCCCAACCAAGCTTATGTGGTGTTTCGATGTCAAACCTGGACCCTTGTATATTCTAGACAAGAACTCTACCAACTCAGCTACATCCCTAGCTCTAGAGCCTATATTTTTTTTTTTTTTTTTTTTTTTTTTTTTTTTTTT